TGGATGTGGGTTAGTAGCACTACCAATTAACTAAATTTAATTTGTTTTAATTTCTTAAATTACTATCTATTAATTAAATTTACTTTTCGCTTAAATCAAACCTTAATTATATTCATATCTATTTTTCTATTCACAGACTCACAAGATTAATTATTTATATGTCTACTTATGTATTCAGACTCACAGTTTTTTGTTGTTTATATTTATCGCTAAAACATAGCTTTTTAAGGCAAAACAATAGATATCATAATGGCAATAATATTTCTTATTTTATTTATATTTTATGACCTTTATTTATGCCATTTTTTCTTTTAATATTACTGTAAGGGTTTTTTCTTTAATTTTGTTTTGTGCTCTTTTTCATTATTATTTTACAGTTTTAATAATTAACTAACTTATTTGTATTTACAAGATTTTATTTACAATATTAGAAAACAAAAAACGGAAATACTTTTGTATTAATTAATTCATAAAACAAGTATATTGTAATAACCGGTACGAGGTCTATATATAATACAATAATCAAACCTTTAAGAGTGTAATTAAATTGGCAATATAGGCTGAGGGAAGAGTTGAAACTTGTGTGAATACGCGAGAGCCAACCCGTCTCTTTAATTGTGTAATGTAGTTGGCTCAAAGAGTTAAAATTTGTAAGGATACTTTGGAGCTGATTTGCCTTAAAAAGATCATTAAGCTCAATATATCAACAACAAAAAATGGGATATGCCGTGTTTTATGGTGACAGAGACGATAATATAATGAAAAAATATATGACCGAACGAGAGATTGTTGATATGATTTTTTAATTTAAATATTAACTATGATATTATTATTTTATTTAAAATAACACTATACTATATTCTTTTATAAAATAACACAATACTATATTCTTTAAAGGATAAATATTTTTTCATTAAAATATTTATTCACAAAAATCTAATTAATAGAGGATAATTTAAAAATTAAAATAAATTAGTTAATAAAAAATGCGAATTGGCGATATTATAAGCATGAATTGGAGCTTGCAACTTTGCTTCTAAATTTAAAATTAATTCATGTAAGCCAACCAATAAAGTCTTTTAGCAAGAGTGGCAATTTGTGTTGGCGGATTATGTCTTCTTGCATGGGATTAAGGTGGACACAAATACAATATGCTTAATTCAAACACAACACTAATAAATATGGGATAAGTATTTTATACTTACTTTTATTTACCATTTTTCAATACCATTAGGTCATAATATCAATAGAAGAGAAAAATAATAAAGATAATAAAAATTCTGGAAGATAGTAGGTAAAAATAGGTAGAAAAAGAAATAGGTTAAATAACATATCTTAATGAATACTAGCATTAAAGCCATAAACATAAATATAACTCGTTTATTATGCGAATTTGACATGACATCATATTTATTTATAATAATATTATGAGAATATCATTGAACTAACCAATTATAAGGATGATCCTAAATATATTATTATATAATTTAGACTTTACATGATTATTTTTAAGATTATATTATATTTATAAATTTTTTATTTAAAAACTCTTACCAACTATATTATGTATTTCGAACAGTACATTATTACATACTCAAATATAATGTATTATCCGTAATATATAGTGTAATTCATAAAAGTTTGTAAATAAAATATTTATAAATATAATTTGTTCTTTTTTTATATCAATTTTTATCACACGTGTCATCAAAATAAATTATATCGATTCAAATGTAAAATTTCTTTTTTATTTTGGATAACTTCAAATATAAAATTTCAAATCGTGTTCGGATGGCGTAAGCGATTAGATTACAAATTGTCGGCTTTATCCAAACGATTAATTTGTCAGCTGTTATATAACTTCGGAAATCCTTTTGTTACGTGGAAAAGAAAAGTTTTTTTTGAATAAATGATGGTAATTCAATTGACACTTAGAAATTAAATAAGTGGATGTAATTTTTTTTTGTAAGAGTTTAAAGCTTTAATTTAAGGATCCGTCCCAAATCAAATTAATCGTAAAACGATGAATCGATTGAAATATCTATAAAAATATATTTTCTAAAAATATATTATCTAATACAGATAGTATATAATTATAATATTAAAATTATTTTTTTTCTCTCTTCAAATAAAGGGCTGACATGGCGTAAAAGGAAAAAACATTTTACCATTATAATTTGTGAATCATCCACACGTTTTTTTAGGTGAAAAATATGGATCGGATACCGACAAGTTCAAACACGCATTTGAGATGCGGTTAACATTTTTTGACACTCAATCAACGCTCTGACACGCTATCAATGTTTTCCGACACGTGGTCAACGATTTTCGATACTTTTTTTAGATCTAAATTTTATTTTATTTATCTTTTTAACTAAACATGAAAAATTAATTTATAAATAAAATATTTTTTGTTATGGAATTTGATATAAAAAATTATTTTTGTTATAAAATTTTTATATTTAATTAGTAATATGATTTATTATAAGGTGTCATATGTATTAAATACAAACTATATTACATATATTAAAAATATTATTTAATAACAAAATTTGTCCTAACGTGTCAAAATTTTAAAATTAATGTGTCGAGTATCGTGTCATGTCATATCTCATATCTCGTGTTATTGCCGGTGCAACATAAATTATAATTATATATTATCCATAATATATAATTATGATGGATTGATGCAAATAATTTTTTACAATAACAAAAAAAAAACTGGGAGGAATGGGGTTATAAGTTTCTCCTCAAACCAGTGACGGAGGCAAAAAAAAAAAAAGTTTAACCCATATTAAATATCAATTTCTGAAAAAAAAAAATCAGTCAGTGCCAAGGTCAGTCAACTATGGAGAAGCAAGAAACTATTATTTTCATAGATCTCTATTATTTTCATATTTCAATAAATAGAAAGTCAATTGCTTTTAAAAATCAGGCGGTGTCAAAGTACTTGCTGATTTCAACTTCACTCCGCCATTACCTTTAACTAAAACAAAAAATTGTGGATCCACTAATTAAAAAATAATAATAATAAAATAGATTTTTGTATGTACTGGGGGGGATGAGTTCTCATTCCCCAAAAAATGATCACAATCAATTTATCACGACGAAGGAAATGTTGTCCGCTCGAACACTTGCGCATTGGACCATTTACAGCTCTTAGTTTTTTAATATATATATAGGTAAGATCTTTTAATAACAGTGTCTAATTTTAAATTTGACATCTCATTTAATAGTTGAAAGTTTAAAAAAAGTCAATAGTGTCACGTGCTTACAAATTAGAGTTGTTGATCTTTTTTGATCTAACTGCTCTCAGATGAGATGTCAAATTTAAAATTTGACTCTAGTATCAAATGATCCTATAACACACACACATATATATATATAGGAAAGTTATACTTACAATTTTTTTTTACAACCTCTTACAACCATATTTTATCACTGTTAATTTTCGTCAATCAACGGTTATGATTTTTTCAAATTAAAATCATTATTTAATTATTAATTCACAATAAGATATGGTTGTAAGAGGTTGTAAAAAAAAAGATTGTAAGTATAACCTTCTTTATATTATATATATATATATATATATATATATATATATATATATATATATATATATATTGGTAAGTAATATATATTTTGGTAAGTAATATTTGTTAATTATACACGCCGTTCTAAATGCAGCTAATTCATGAATTCGATGAGGATAAACCTCGACCGCATAGAACTTCCAAGGAAAAAAAATATATTAAAATAAGAAACAGGATATACTTATCACAAAAAAGTTTATCACATTTACAATTATCATAATCACCGTTGATTTTCATTAATTTAACTGTTATAATTATTGAGAATTAATAATTAATTAATAAATACAACCTAATAATTTCTAATAAATAATAATCGTTAGATTGACGAAAATTAATGATGATTTAGTTACTTGTAAAAGTAGTAAAAAAATTTGGTGGTAAGTATATTAATACCATTGCTAAAATGTATTTGGGTTAATGAATTAGTAACTAATCAATTGGTCAAACACTATCCTACTTTTGAAAAATTAAAAAATAGATATTTATCCTTTTAAAGGATATAAAATTATGTTATTTTAGTCGTAACTAATATGTTTTATGATATAAACAAAAATCATAGAAGGAAAAAGTGAAAAAAAAATTAAATTTAAATATTAAATAAGAACCAACAAAATATGATACAATTGATAAATAGCTGAGTCTTTTATGCATATTGACATAGATTCAATTCTTAATGTGTGTAAATAGAAATTGTAAAATTGTAATAGAATAATACTTCCAGATCCCCTTCTTGAAAGAATCATATTAAATATCTTAGCTTAGTTTCTATTTTCTTCAACTTAGAACCTATTTGACATACAATATTTTTTTATTGCATAGAATAGGTAGTGAAGTAGTGGGCAAACAAAAAAGGTATATGGAAAATGCTTAGTCAAAAGCGACAAATATCTCTTCAAAAATTTAATAGTTACTTCTCTTAGAAAAACTAAAGCATGCCACTATTTAAAAACTATATGTACCGAATTTTATAATTAAAAATATAAAAACGGTATATTATTTCCAGAACAAAAAAAATTAAACCAATTTTCTCCTTTCCTCTTTCTCTTTCTTGCCTAAAAATGATAAATGTAAAGAGCAACGTAAGATTTTAAATTTAGGCATTGCTAAAACATTTTTCATTTTAAAGTATAGATATTTGGGAGTGTCTGCAATGCCCCCGCTAGAGCAATTTATAGATATTCTAAGCCCATGCCTATTTCGCCTTCACCGTGTTCATCTGTATTTTATTTCCTCAAGTAGTTACCTTTCAGTTCTTTCAATTTTTCCTATATATAAAACTGCTATAACCACTGCACATGCACTCAATCGTAGCCAGTTACCATTCTTAAAAGAAACTAAACATTCTTTGAGCCCTTTGGTTCCTTCAACTTCTCAAGGATATTTCTCTAATATCCAAGCTCGAAGATCATGGATATTGCGCATTTCTTGTTCGGGATATTGGGTGTGTTCATGATTCTTTTTGTACATATGAGTTTCTCTTATCTTCCTTGACGGTTGCTTGTCCTTCTTGTCTTGGATTCTTGGTTTCTGGATTTGTAATTCTTTTGTTTCTCATTGTTCTTTTTACGATGCAGGAGATGCTTCTGGCTTGTTCCTCTTCTTAGCCCCAGCGTATTCATTTCATAACTTTCTCCTTCCCCACCCCCAGTTTGAAATTGTTCTGTTTTTTTTTTTTTTCAGTTTTAGGGGGCTTGCTATGACCCTGTTAAGCTTTTTCATTATTTGTTCTTTATAATGCACATAAAATCATCTTCTTTTTTTGTGCGTGTGTTTGCAAATGTGTATAGTACAAGTTTGAGTAAAAATTGTGAGAAATTTGACTTTGTAGAATCACATTCAAGAGGATTATAGCGAACAAATCCACAGAGAAGTTCTCAGGCGTTCCTTACCCTATGACACTTCTCAACTGTCTCCTTTCTGCTTGGTAAGTTTCACTCCTTTTCTTTCCTTTTTTCTTTATCTTCCCTCCTTCACAGATCTTTATTCAAAATTTCTCATGTGTGTTTTCTTTCATTTTTGAAGTGGTTGTTGCTGCCATTTCCTTCATTTCCCTTTATTTTGCATAATGTAAATTTCATATGTACAGGTCATGTTTTATTCTTAGATGTTTCATTAAGAAAATCCTTAAAAGTAAGTGTGCTGCATGGCACGGATAGATCTCCTTTTTTGGTCCATTTGTTGGACTAAAATTCAGTCAGTAGTTGAATTTTCCCTTTCAATTGTCAAATCTTGATATAGAAAAATACACCCCTATTCTTGTTTCTACATGGTACATGTTATTTATTTATTCTCTAATTAGTTAATTCAATTCGGAAAAAAAAAATCAGGTTGGGGTTGATTCTATACAATAAAAGTTTTGATTTTCATGGGCTTATAGGTCTAGTTCTAGTACATCTTCTGATTTTACAATTCACAGGTATGGTTTGCCGTTTGTGTCTCAACACAACATACTAGTAACCATAATAAATGGCACAGGAGCAGTAATTGAAATCGTATACGTTTTCATCTTCATCTTATACGCACCCAAAAAGGAGAAGGCTAAAACTCTTGGCCTTTTTGCCTTCGTAGTAACAGTATTCTCTGCTGTTGTTTTATTGTCCCTGTTTGCCCTGCATGGCAATTCCCGGAAGCTCTTCTGTGGCTTTGCTGCGGCCATATTTTCCATCATCATGTATGGCTCACCCCTCTCAATTATGGTAAGTTAAGTTTACACTTTCTTTATTAAATCCTTGTGCATTTACTTCGCCATCCTTATCATGTAACTCTGGCCAAGTTACACTTAAAGTAATTTGAAATTATAAATATGTTACATTATAAAATTCAGTTTATAAATATGCTATTATGTTAAAATATGTTGTGTAAAGCTGCCATTTGTTGATAATAATAATTATGAAACATTATGGCTTGTTTTATTGTGGACTTGACATTATCTGCATGTGAAGAGACTAGTGGTCAGAACAAAGAGCGTGGAGTTCATGCCTTTCTTCCTGTCGCTGTTTGTGTTTCTCTGTGGCACGTCCTGGTTTATCTTTGGTCTATTAGGCCATGACCCATTTGTTGCTGTAAGCACACAATCATCACTTAATCATTTTTTATTTGAGTTATAGAAAATGAAATGTCATGATGTCACACTGATTACCCTTTTCTTTTCTGCTTTGTTTTTGCAGGTACCAAATGGTGTGGGTTCTTTTTTGGGGACAATGCAACTAATATTGTATTTCATATACCGTGGCAATAAAGGTGATCCAAAGAAGATAACAACAGCAAAAAAACCAACAGAAGAGGAAGCCATGGAGATGGGCACCGTTAAACCCCCATCATCATCAGAAGAACCAATCCAAAAAACCAATGCAAATGGGACTCAAGAGGGACACGTCTAGGGACGCGTGTTAGCTTAAAACACACACACCAATAACCACCGCAATCTTTGTCTCCATCTCCCAGCAACCATATCTTTATTTTGGACTCTGCTTAATCAGTGTGTGTTCCACCCATGTTTTTGTAATTTACTTCTTGCTTGGCAACTCTAGCCATAGGGTTGCTCAGAGACTCAGCACGTTTGTGTTGTGTGAAATTTCTTTGTTTTTTACCTTCTCCTTATTAGGACACGTCCTAGTAATTTTCTGATTTAGTGGCTGAAAAGTGAAAATAAAACCAAGTGTAATAATTTACATAAAAGAATCTTGAAATTTGTCATTTTGCATTAGGAAAATTGTTGAAAACAACCTTGGTTACTTTTTTTATCAGTATTGTTGTCGTTGAATTAGATATTCGAGTATGACAGGATCCAAACAGGGGGTCCATAATTGAGACAAGATGCCTTATCAGTTAGCATTGGCACATGATCAACTCAAGTTGCTCGGAAGAGATTGCTACAGGACGAAATTAGAGAAAAGTAGCATCGAACCTCTCACAAATAGTTTTTAACCAATAAAAGAAGCTTGAAAATGCAATGAAGAAGGTAACAAACGGTACTTTGAGAAATGATTATTTTTTTAGATGTTCAATTCAAAAAAAAAAAATAGAGATGGAATCAACTTACAGCTAAGAGTTATAAGTCTTTCGTTAAATCTTAATTTATTGATTTTCATGCATTTAATAATTGAAATATTCACAGTTAATAATTAATTAATGAGTGGCATTCAATAAATCTTAGCCATTAGATGCTCAAAAATCAATGTTTAAGACTTGGTGTAAGACTTAATTTACCATTAGATTGGCACAAATCAATGATTAAGATTTGGTTTGGTAGTAAGAGATAGTAAGAAAAAAATGTAGTAAGTATAAACCCTCCCAAATTTTTAACTCTAGAATAATTTAATTTAAACATATATCAAATTTGACTAATAAATTACTTTATTATGTGATGGAATTTTACTAAAATCATTTTACATGTAATTTAGTTTTTCCTGACTTTTTCAATACTATGAGATGGATTTCTTTATTATTATTATTCTTATTATTATTATTGTTGTTGTTGTTGTTATTGTTCTGGACGAACATTAGTATGGATCTATATTTTGGTTATCTCTATCCTTGGTGTATACATGGGGCTAGCTTCTCAACAATTACCTTTATTATGGAAGTGGTGGGTACCATCGTGGCATCGTGGTAGGCCCACTTATAACTCCACTACTTGTAATACTGGCTGACTCAATCAACTGCTAACTCCCCTACGTGTAATACTCACTGACATGACTACCCGCCTATCCAGGTAAAGTATATCCGGGTTCCGTCTCCTTTACTCTTACGAGCACGTATGGCTCAGTGTATGAACCCGGAACATTAAGCCCCCAAAGTCGGAGTTAAATGAGTTTTTACTCCGAGTTTAACTCTTAAGGTTTCACTTATTCTGCTCTTTACTTTTTCCTTACGTCAGTATCCTTATTAAATACTCCCTGCCTATTCAGTTTCCAATAGCCACTTGTCACTCTCTGATTACCTTGATCTTCGAAACGACTTGACATCTGAAACAACTCATCCTGACATCTATCATTACTTTTGAAAATCGAAAACGTCACTTACCCCAATCTACCCTTATATTACCGTTTGCCTCATTTCTTTTCTTGCGTTTTTTCTTCTTCTTCTTCCTCTTGACATTCCCCTTTCTTGCCATTCTTCCTGGTTTTTCTCCCTCTCTGTTTCGCTGGTTTCTCTGCGTGGATCTTGCCACCATTCTTTTACCACCTGTTTGAAGCCCCCAGCACCTTATACAAGTAAGTTCTTCTATTTCTTGTATTACATCGTGGTTGATTTCTGACATTATTTGTGCATATTAATGCTTATCTTGTCATCTATTTCCTTAACAAACCTTTGCCCAGAACTTATCATCTTATCCTTTATCTCTTTCCTTTACTCCATACTTTCCTGATCTTTATCTCTTCCTCTTCTTTGGTTTTCTTTAACCACCCTATCATGTTCTGCACGGGTTAGGAACACATTTTGCGTTATATACATTTTATTTTGCACTATATCTTCTAAAATTGATTTTATTGGTACCTTTCCGTCCAGGCCATGCCGAGGAATCGTCCGTACCGTTCGCTTCCCCTTTCTCACTTCGCACTACCTTCTACTGTTGAAGGTTTAGAATGGGTTGAGGAAGAAGCTCTAGGGCTTCGTTCCTCTTATGAAAACCAGCCGAGTACCCTCCATACTGCCTTACAAACTGTACCTCTATTTCGTGACTCAATTATCACTTCTTTCCGAGTTGCAGTACCCGGAGAAGAAGAACGCATTTGTTCGCCTTCCGGGCAAGGTGAGAACTCTTTCTTCTTTGCCTACAAATGTTTATTTTCTGAACTCTTCATACTTTTACCTTTCTCCGAGTTCCAAATGGACGTCTTAAATCACTTGCAAGTCGCTCCTTCTCAACTACATCCTAACAGTTGGTGTTTTTTACATACCTTCGAGATAATCTGTCGTTCGTTTGGATTCACCTATTCCTTTCGGGTCTTTTTCTGCCTTTTTGCTGTGTTCCGAAATGCTGTAGATAAAGGATGTACTCGTCATAGCTAGGTATCCTTAAAAGCTCGACCCGGGTTACGTTGGTGTACTATATATGAAGATAACTGGAAAAATTTCGAAGGAGAATACTTCAAAATCTGTATTCCTGAAGCTCTTCCTGCTACACCTTCTGCCTCTTCCTCATCTTCTCAACCCGCCCCTCCTTCTGCTTTCTTTTTAGATCACAACGGAGCTCCGCGCTTTCCTCTCAGTTGGAACCGTCATCATTACACAACTTCTGCCAAAGTATTCTTGACGAATTCAAAGAATTTGAGCCCAGACGAAACTGAAACTTGTACTTGGTTCAAAAAGCTTGCCTCCGAATTAGCTAAGGAAAATATTTCCCTCATTCCTTGGTCTATTCTAACTTATAAAGATTCTTCTGACTGGATTTGCAGGAAATTAAGTACGTAACTTAAATAATTCTAATATGTTTTTATCTGTATATTGCCTTTAACCTCAAATCTATTTTATTTGTATGTGTGGTTTCCAGATAAAGTCATGGACCCTACTTTTTTTGCCCGCCAAAAGCAAAAGGCTACCCGTAAAGACGATTCATCTGCTTCAGGTGGAAAGGACATCTCTCCAACTCGTTCTCCTATGCCGGCTACTTCCGCTACAGGTTCTATCCCGGATGATACTGTTATAATGGACGCGGAGGCCCCAATTGATTCAAGCGAGCTCCTTCGAAGAAAACGAGTTCGAATTAACGAACCTAGTCCTGACTCTTCTGTTGAAAAGTCTTCAACTCCACCTTCTTCTGTCATGGCTACCCCTCGCTCAGATCCCCCTTTTATAAAAAAATTGAAGCTGTGCTTTACTCCCGGGCTCCGGGAAAAATGGGACAAATTCTCTTTAGATCAACTTATTGCCAAATTCACCGACATCCGGGATCACTCTCTCCGGGAGGCGCACTACTACGAAATGGCCCTTCTCGCTTTAGCTGAACGCTAACAAATTCTAACTGAGCTGAAAGAGTCACAACTTTTAAAAGAAAAATTTCAAACAGAAAAAGCACAGCTCCTTCAAAAGGTCGAAGCTGCCGAGTTTGTTGCTCAGGGCTTCCAAATTAAACTCAAAGAAAACGAAGAATCAAGTAAGAAAAGCAATGAGGAACTTGCTACCCTCAAAAAAGAGCATCAAGTGTTGACTGACAAACACCAGGTGTTGACAAAAAACTTTGAAGATTCTGACCTCCGGGTAGCTGAGTTAAAGCAAGAAGTGGATACTCTGAAGAAAAATGTCCTGGCTTTACAACAGGCTGCTGATGACATGGATTCTAAGTATGTTGCCTTCGGTCATCAAAATCGTGGCTGGGTTGTGGATCAAGTGAAATTTTGCCATCCAGACTCTCCCTTGCCTCATTTGAGCAAAATAGAAACTTTCAATTTTATTGATAATGACCGACTATGTACTCATGACGAAAAAGGCTCCATTGCTGTACTTGCTGAAAACCCCTCTGATTATCTGGGATTTACTCCTACTTCCGACCCTGCTGCCTCAAATATTGTTCCTAAGACTACTTAAAAAAGTTGGACACCACTTTATTTTGTACTCAGCTTTTCTATTATAACTACTGAAATCCTGTACTTCTAAGCTACTTGTTTTTTATTTCAATATTTTGCACTCGTAATCAAGAAGTAGAATGATGTGTTTTAGTTTTTTTATTGTTGTCCTTTGAATTTGATAACTATGCGATCCTAATACTTGCTTAAGTACTTGCTTATTCTTCTCGGCACAATTACACTGCCTCATTACTTAAATGTACGTCACTTTGTCTACGCATCATTCTGCCTTTGCTTAACCGTTTTCGAGTAGGAATTGAACGGCTGCCCAAGAGGCTAATTAAGGCGGCAAGGGACTTTGTTTTCCCGTTTTCGAGTAGGAATTGAACGGATGTCCAAGAGGCCAATTAAGGCGGCAAGGGACTTTGTTTTCCCGTTTCCGAGTAGGAATTGAACGGCTGTCCAATAGGCCAATTAAGGCGACAAGGGACTTTGTTTTTTCTTAATAATACGTATTGAAGTCGAACTGGCTTTATTGAATTGAAATATTGTAACTCACAATGTCAAATATACCATACTTAAATGCAAAATAACTGCAACACATAATAACATAAAATACTCCTACTAAATTAACAAACTAAACTTACTTCCTAATCATGAATATAAAACTACATCTAATTTACGATCTGCCATCTGACTTCCAACTAAATCTGGATTTCTTCAACTAAAGTACCTTTTTAACTTGGCAGCATTCCAATATCGCAGAATTGGTTTCCCATCCAAGTGCTCTATCTGATAAGCTCCAGTCTTTGTGGAAACTGTTACTCGATAAGGACCTTCCCAATTAGCTTCCATTTTTCCATCTCTTGCAT